GAAGTTGCTAAAAGGGAACTGAACAGCCAACACAGCAGAACAAGTTAATGCACAAGGCAGAAAAGCTATGGAAGCTTTGAACAGATAGACAAGAAATGTCCTCCCTCACTGTGCACTGTGACATGCAGCAACCCGAGCCTGGCTGTCCTTAGGCTTAGCAAGGGTCCTCCAAGCACCCTGTACACCTCCAGCTGTGTACAAGGGGAAGGCTGAGGAGGATTTAACACAGACCTGCACTTGCTCAATTTTGTGGGATCAAAGACACACAATTAAAATCTCTCAAAGCAGCACTTTCCAAGGCAAAAGAATGTTTTGTAAACAACCAGTCTGGCAGAGTTTTCAGTACTATTATTATATCTGGGGTGTTAGATGGTCAAGATTATCAAAAATTTAGCTTGTCACTGAAAAAGCACAGAAAGAGCAATGACCACCTCTAAAGAAACCTATCACACAACACAACATCCTAACCCTACTCCCACTGCTTACCAAAACTATCACATGAAGAAAACAGAGGACTGATTCTCTGATCATGTTTCTGCAGATTTCCCTATCTGATGAATCATGACAGTGCAATTCTGTCCCACAAAGATCAAGGATTTCTTTTATCATTGTCTTAGAAAAGCACAACTGTTAAAAACTAAATTGCCTAAACCAAACCGATCCTGTGCCTGTCACATGGAACCAAAGATGCAGCTACAACAATAGCAGCCCTGTAGACAAACTCTGCTTCAAAGTGCCATGGTTTTGTATTTCCCCATTTCTGTTTAATCACCTCTACCACAGCAACTTTAAATCTACTTATGGTGTCATTTGTGGCAGTGCTTCTAAGTTTCCTGTTTTAAAGGCTGGTGAGAACTCTTATCTCCTAGACACTCAAAGTTTAGATTAATACTTTCCTGTGTGTATGGGAATATATTACTCCCCACAGATGCAAAAAGGATGGCTATCAAATATCTCAGAAGCTTTTCACATACAGGATAGATAAATAGAAAAAAGAGAGAAGGAAAGATGGCTTTATTGCTCTCAAAACTAATCAACCAAAGCTTTAGAAGCATCTATATTAACAATTCACTCTTTCATGAACAACATGGAGGTTCTGAAAAAGCAGTTGAATATTGTCAATATCCAAACCACCAGATTGTTGGTTTTGTGGAAGGAAGAAGAAAAAGCAAAATATGCTTGCAGTTTTATACATGGATCTAAAAAGGGTGGGGGGGGGAAGGGAAAGTAACACTTAAACTTCAACTCAAGCTCCCCATGTGCTCACAGCTTTGCTTTTCAACATATTCTGTGCAACCTCATGCTCTAGCACAAGTCCCATCCTCAACTCCTCTAGGATTAAAGATATATATGCTATTAAGAGCTTATGTTCTACTATCCTTTCATACAACCAAAAAGAGAAAAAAACCATTTTGCTCTTAGGCTTCCCTTAAACTAACTTCAGAGGGAGAACCAGGTGCAGGACCACACTAAAGCTAAACACAGTGAGGGTATGAATACACACTACAGTGTACATATACACAGCAATTAGATTGAGAGTCACAAAATCAGAGACTGGTTGGGGTTGGAAAGGACCTTAAAGACAGTCTTGTTCCAATCCCCTGCCATGGGCAGGGACACCTTCCACTAGACCAGGTTACTCCAAGCCTCATCCAACCTGGCCTTGAACACTTCCAGGGATGGGGAGTCCACAGTCTCTATGGACAACTTGTGCAGATCTCAACATTCAAATTTCTTCTTAACAGCTAATCTAAACGTGCCCTCCTTCAGCTTAAGGTCATTTGCTCTTGTGCCATCTCTCCATGACCTTGTGAGAAGTCCCTCCCCAGCTCTCTTGTAGCCCCCTTTAGGTGCTGGAAGGGCTCTAAGTTCTCCCCAGAGCCATCCCTTCTCCAGTCTCTCAGCCTGTCTTCATTAGGAGAGGTGTTCCAGCCCTGTGATCAAAACTCAAGATTGAATCAGAAGAAAGTTTGAGTTCACCTACTTCAGAGACAGTTAAGTTACAGTCTTTGCTAAATCCTCAATAATTTATACTACCATTATCACTTTCTTATCATGAAGAAGTCTAATCCAGATGGATTTTCTTCAAGTCCTTTTATCTGCCAAAAACTCCACACCACCACAGAGTGATATTTCCATGGCAGATTTCACCACTGCTGTCTCAGTTCTACACCACACTTGATAGACGTTGTGGAACAACTTAAAAAGAAAAAAACTTTGTTTCATAACTCAAAACAAAGATAGGTATTTTTTCCAAACTGCTAAACAGCTTGATTATTTTCAATGCCAATGCTTCCTTTTTCTTCTGCTGTCAGGCTTCTTCAGAGAAGTTATTGCTCATTCCTTCAGGAAGTAAATTACAGTGAATTATAAACTCCAGGTTTCCACATGTCCTGGCCCAACACTGGACTCCCCCAGATTTTGTAGCCCACCTTGCTTTACACAGTCAAGACTATGTTTTGTTTTGTTGAGTATGGCTTAAAACAAAGAAAAATAAGCTTTTCTATTTATTAACGTCTATGCTTGCAGAGATGCCTCAGAAGAAGAAATGCTGATAAGAAAGTCTGCTAACGACATTGCATTGTTTCACTGACAAATAAGGCTATAAATCACTTAATTTACTGCAGAGCTTTAAGCAGCAACTCTTGAGGCAAAAAAACCCCAAAAAAACAAACCCTGAAAAACTCAAGAAGCCTTTAAAAAAGATTACCACAATTATTAAACATTGTGTTAATCAGATGTTCCACAAACACTATGTGGAGCATAGTGTGGTCCAGACAGAAAGACCAAAATTATTAACAATTGCTAACATGAATTTGTCTAAAGTCAGCATTAAAATATTACAACTGGTAAAGAGAGGATGGGTAATCCTAACATCCTTGTTGTGATCATTTCATAGTGTAAGAGCTGAATGTTATAAAGAAAAGTATCATCTGTATTTCTACACATACCTCTTTCAACTCCAACAAAATGACAAACTGTTGGGTAACAAAATGCCTTCACCACAATTTTCACATTACCTCAATTGCTCTAACACAACATAAAAGGGATATAATTGAAATATTACAGACAAAACAAACATTGGTATTGTCACAATGTCCTCACCTAGCTCATTTTCTGAACAATTCCTTCCTAACAGAGAAGATACTTATATTCCAATTATGCTGGAATCATATGGATTTCAGAGTGTGCTGTCAGGAAACTGCCATGAAGGAAGAAGTAGAGACAAGTTTTTCATTTCCATTTGACTGCCTCTGATCTGAGTAATTGCCATTGACTGCTTCAAATGGATGAAGAGCAGGCATTTAACACGGGGGTTAGGTTCAAGCTGTACTCTAACCCAAGGTGCTATTCAGTCCAGAGGTACCCGAGCAGTGACATTTTCCAGTCATCAGCACAATACTTTAATTGAACCTTAAGGAACTTCTACCTAAAGGTTTTTCCTGTTGCTACTGTTTAATGGTTGCCTCAGACATTTTAAAATCAGCGTACCAAGAGTCAGAGGTAAAAACCAGTGGCTCTGATGAGAGGAATTGTGCTCTTTGCCACAGAGCAAGTATCAGGCAAAGCAATGAAAACATTTCAAATGGAAAACTCTTACCAAGCTCCTTCAATGTTGCTCCTGAATACCAAAACTGTGAATCTAGCCCACTCCAAGAATAATAAATAACATTCAAATCATCCTAAGAACTGATGAAACATGTTTCCTTTTCACATAAGAACAACGAACCTTTGCCTATAAATTTAAAAGCAACAACATGAATATACATGTTCCAATTATCTGCCAATCTAAGGAAATAACAGCTCTTTTGTCCAGCTAATAAAGAAAACATACAGGGATGTTTTTCATTTTATATATGGCCCAGAAACTCTAACAGTGCTGTACTCATTCACTTTCCATCTCAGTGGAAGTTTTTCCAACCAAGATCTTGTGCTGGATGCCTTGTGGCAAGAAGGTGGCAGAGCCTGCCAGAGCCCTGCAGGTGCTGCACCTCTTCACCTTGTTCCTGATCTGCCTTCAATTCTGCCGAGGCAAGGCAGAAGGGGGGAGGGAAAGGTGTGTCTGACCAAGAGATAACATCACTTCAGCACCCTGGTACAGAGAAATGCAGTTAGGACTGAGCAGCTGAGAGCAGCTCTGCTGCCACACTGTCATCAGGCTATCACTTGCAAATCTGCTTTCCCAGACTTGTTCCAGTGGCATTTCCCTACCAAAGGCTGCATTTGCTTCTCTATTTTGAGAATTTCAGCAAGTAACACCTTCTCAACAGAAATACTTATTTTTGCAGGAAACCCAAAGACAGACAAGACATAGGAGCACAGTTATCAACTTATTTACCAATTTGCCTAAACTCTTCTGCTCTGTTCTTTTTTGGGACTGCAAAGATCATTTGACTTAGACTCAGACTTTCCTATGAGTCAGGACTGCCAGTATCTCTTTCAACCTGGTGGCAGAACAAAACAGTCCATTCATTGAAGACAAAATTAATGACTTCAAATGCCATCTCAAAACATGTTTTTATTTTAACTGAATGTACCAGGTAGGTGATCTCTCTGTGTCTAATCCTAAGAGCCTTTAAACACTGTAGGGAAAGACATTTTTAATCACCAACAAATATAATAAATGTTTTCTTTCAGTTAATAACCAATAAAGTGGATATGGTAGAATGGCAGAGGAGATTGACACCAACTGAAATTTAGAGAAAAGATCTCCCCAGTTTCATCATTCTATGCAACCATTTAAAGCATGAAACATCTACTATAAATGTGTGAAGTATTCCCATTAGCAGAGATTTTGATATTCTAATGTGCTCAAGTTATCACAAAAAAAAAAATCTTCCACTGAGCTTGGACTTCAGTTTATCACTGATAAAGGCTAGACTTTGAATTTTGTTTTCTAAGACATTTCAAATATCTAACTGAAAAATCATGTTATGCTCAAGAGAGAAAAGGTTCAGATTAAACAGTTTATAAATAATTTTAGTAGTTACCATACACACCTGCTACATTAAGCTTTTCAGCTGCTCCTAAGCTGGGAGCAGAAGTGGTGGTATTGTTGGTCGAGTTTGCTCCTGTTCCATTAAGTACAAGATTTTCCACCTTGGACTCCAACTTCCCAATGCGCTGCAAGATATTATCCAACAGAACAGCAAGTGTCTTTTTCAAATCTGCAAATGAAAATGAAATGTTAAACTGCTTAACAATGCAGTGCACACTTGCCAGACAGATCAAAAAATAGATTCAAGATTCAAGGATGAGACTGGATATACATATATATATACACATACATACATACACACACTTTCTCTGTGCAAATCTTTGCCATTAGCAGCTCTATGCACACATGTTCATTACTTTGTTCAGCCTGAGATCCAAGTTTCCTTGGCCATGGCACTTGTCAGCCTGTATATTTTATGAAGCACAGTGCTACTCATAGATATCCACATTCAAGGTGAAATGTGAGCCTTTACGGGAAGAGAAAAATGCTTGCTTTGCAATGGCTCAAGTAATAAGAAGCTGCTTAAATAATAATGAGTCTAAACCTAAATCCATATTCAAGCACTATCAGAGGAACAGACTGTTGCTACTCAGTCACCTGGGAACAAAAATCCCCTTCCCAAAAAGGACAGCTTTAAGCCTGTACAACAGCTTCTGCACTAGGAAATTAAAAATAGATAATAATTTCTAAAAAAAAATTAAGTTCAACCTTTCTTTTCTTTGTAGTCAGAAAGCACCAAAAATCACCAAAAATGTCTCCAATCTGCTGGTGATTGTCTCTGTTTGGTATGACACAGGGCTTCCTTGGCATGGAAGGCAATGAACAATAGCAGGAATTTGCATATCAAATGACAACATGGAAAGAGATCCCTGATATTTTTTCCCTTGGCTTTTATTTTGTTCAGATTCCTTGAAGGAACACAAGACACTTTGACAAGTTAAAAGAACTGAGGGCAAGAAGTGAAAACTAGATCACTATCACACAAAACTGTATAATTATAATGGCAAGAAGCCAAAGAAGATGAAACTATTATTTTTTATTCATTTACCCTTGTAAAGAATGAAGAATTTGGTACGAGGAAATTATATTATTTTTCCATTTAATTACAGAAAATAATTGCACGTGTTTTGGTATAATGTATTCTGGTTTTCACAACTTTAGAATCAAATAATATTCTGATCTATAACAGAAAACTTTTGCATACATCTGAAGACATTCTACTGTCTCTACAGCAGTTGTAGTTTTGCCACATTTATTCCATGCTTTTTTTTTTGTTTTCCCATGACTATCTCAATTCTTGTGCAAATGAGAGACTAAATAAGAAAATGCTATTATTTTAGAAAGCATATAATTGTTTTCTCCAAGCAAAAGGAGAATCATATTTATTCCATGGTGCCATAAAGAAAGCCTTTCTCCTTATAACTGTCATTTCCTTTCTCCTGTAAAGACCAGAAGGTGGAATCTGAAGCAGCAGTCCACACATCTGGACTATTTTAAAAGGGGTCCAGAAGTTATTTAATGGCACAGTATGCAGAAGAAAAGGAAACTCTGGATTTAACATGAACAAAACTGTGGTAGAGAAGGAAGAACAGTAGTGAAAATAATTCAGGAAACAGTGAGGAAGAAATGTAGCCTACATAAAAGCATACACAGATAATAAAGACAAAAGATGTTTATTTAAATTTATAATTTTTTAGTTCTGATACCAAGATACTGATATGAGAGACATCTTGTCAGAACAAAAAGGGAAATGGAGGTTAGTTTGAGAAGGGGAAGTCAGAAGCACAGATTCACAGAATTTTTGTAAAATAACCATTTACTGCTATAAAGAAAAATCTAATATTCACTGTGTATATCTGAACTACAACTTTTAAAAGGAAAATGTTTGAGCCACCTACCTGACAGGTGAATACATGGCAGAAAGAAAAAGTGAGAAAGTAAACAAGCTGTGCAACCACAATTAAGGAATGACTGAAAACCTTTCAGGTAGGTAAAAGCAGCCAAATGCAGCAAACATTTAATTTATTCTTGAACATAGGAATCACAACTGTGCTCACTTAAAGCAATCAGAGGATGACATTAAGAAAAATAAAAAGGCTAAATAAGCAAGAGCATTAATTTTCACAGAACATTGAAGAAACCTCTACCAATTATTATTAACATCAGTCATTAATGTGTTTATTTATGAAGAGCTAACCTGATTATTTGCTAGCAGCAAGTCATTTGGTATGCCAAACAAGACAAATTAACTTATTAAGTAATTACCCTACCTAGTTTCATATGCTATTATTTAATACGGTCTAATTCACTCACCATAGTGCTTTTCCCTAAAATATTTTCAATAACTGCATCACCATTATTTTCCATCTTTCCAAACTACTCTGTTGAAAACACTGGGCTAAACTTAAAATTTAAGTCTTTAATCTTAAAAATCTTCTCAGCCATGGACTTGAAATTGTAACACAAACCTTGGCTTTCCCTTCACAGAAGTGACACAAAGTTATTTCACCCACTTCCAAATGCAGTTTAACTTCTCCTTAGGAACTTGACCAGTGTTTGGAGACAAGTCAACTTATTCCCCAGCAGGATTTGGAACAGGAAATTAATGCCACAGGCAACAAGCTGCAGGGGGAACTTTGCTTATGGATATCCTGTACCCATTTTAATCCAGTTACCTTCAATATCTGGCGCCAGACTGTTTGGGTTTTGTTGTCTATTTTCTTTCTCAGTTCATCCACCATCACACCCCTGCACAGTAACTGGACACTGGTAATGGCTATACAGCAGATAAAGTTTTGTTTTGAGCATAATCACACAAACCTCTAAGGATCTCTACTGGCTCAGAAATCCTCAACCCAAATATTGATCTATACCACTCTGTTTTGCTTGTGATACTTTGTAAGGCTACAGCTCCAGAATAGCTCAACATGCAGCCACAAATCTGGAGTTCCAGAATAAGGACAGGCTGCTATTTAAGCAATGGAGAAATTTAACTGCTAGCAAATCTAATTGACTACTTAGTTTTCCAGACAGTCTGGAAGTGCATAGGTAAGTAGGAAAGAAAATAAGTCTAAAAACTGCTAAACAAGTAAGGTGTATTATGTGATCTTAACAGATTGAAAAGGAATCACACCTAACCTGAAATTTGGTTATATTTTTTTTTAGTAATATTTTCAGGTAATACGCTTTGTTCTTTTCTGATTCCTTTGTCTGACACATGCACAAAACCTGAACTCTCATGTACAAACTGGAAGAGAGTAAGCATTAAAAACAACTGCCAAACAAAGCTCTAAAATTCACGGAGTTTTCTGCCCTGAGGCAAACAGGATATACTTAAAGTTAATTTAGGATTATACCAGATAAATAAACTTAAACATTAAGTAAATTGACTGAACAAAGAAGTGAAATGGGAAAGAAGAAAAAAATAGTAGGTCTCCATTTTAAACTAAAACAAGTTTTACCACAAGGAATTTCTTAGATCACTGAAATGAAAACTGAAAAGCCTCCCAACTTTCTTAAAAAACCAAAAAAGTTTTTCTTTAAACTGAGTTCTAACAAATAACCTAAAGCATACTAGATAGAGCTACTAGAGAGACATAATAAAAATTAGCAGACAGCTTCATTTTCAAGTGACTGGAAATGTAGAGTTTATCCCACTTAAAAGGGAAGGCCATTTTCTCCATTTATACAGAAAATGCACAGGGTAAAGTACTGCTAATTGAGCGGCATTATGAAGCAAAATATTTGGGCAATTGAGGAAAAAGACTTAATCAGATTATCAAATAATCCAGAGAACACACTTACCATATGCTGTCACTGTCCCAACATAAGGCCCATCAACTACATTTTTATTTTCTTCAGCTAATGCTTTGATGTATCTTTTGCTGAGATCTAAAATTTGCTCACGCAGAACTGAACTGCTCTCGTGTTGTGTTTGTTGCTGAATAGTAAAATGCAGAAGCATCATTCCCCAAATAAAACCAAAAGTCACCAGAAAAAAGCCTAGTTTCTGAGAGGACAGCTTCCATGGAGAGAATGCCATGATTCCCAACAGATTCACACAGTTACTACAAAGGTTCCTAAAGCAAGAAGCCAAACAGCAAGTACATGGTCCAGGTATATAAATATCACAGAGCAGGACTCAGTCTTATTCCAACTCCTTTGTCAACACATATCCGTATTTCAGTTCCATCCTGTTGCAAGAGAAGAGAAAAAAGCAGAGTTAGCACACCTCAAGTTTTTACTACCCACTCTAGGTGTTCCCTCTAACTGGTACAAACCAGAAGCAGACAAGATGCTTGTTTTGTAAATGCTTAATTTGCATGTCTCATCATTGTACTGTGGCCGCCAGAGCAAAAAGAGGCTGAGAAAAGCACTGGAAAGACAACAAAGCAGGAGTGATGTGCCCGAGCAGGTGGGGAACACCTCACAGGATCTGGATCAAATTCCCTGCCTGAAGAGGTTTCTAAGCTGTATTTCAAAGTAAGGCTGCTGTAACATATTTATTTGTGTGTGTGTACACAAAACTTCGCGATGCTGCCAGTGTGGCAATTGAAGACAATTCTCAATGTAATTCACTTCTCAGAAAACAAGTAATTTTAGCTGGCAGTGACACTGCTCAGAGCTCCTGGCAAGAGCTACAGCATATGGCTAGATAGGTGATCAGGAAATCAGACTCCCTCAGGGGTAAAGAGGAAAGAAGAAATCTACATTATTTAAGCCAATATACTCTCCTGGCTTCCACTGCTAGCAGTTGGGAGGCTGGAATAATGTCCTGCTCCTGTGTGGCCTCTGCTGTGCACAGCTACTCCTCAGCCATCAAACACACTCCAACGAGCGTGCTCTTTGCAACTAAATTGAAAACACAAACTTCTGAATGCAGCAACATGTCTTTTATACATAAACTAATATCCTCAGAGCTTTTCATACACAAGGGAAAAGGAATTGTAATAAAGGCCTTCAAGATACAATAGGACTACCTTTTCAAAGTAAACTCAGTTGCATGATGAATCCAAAAGCAAGAAATGGTCTGTGATGAGAGTTAGAAGCAGGGTCCTTAGCTTAAAGTCTAACTAGAAGAGGGGTAATTAAAAGGTAATTAAGTGTAACCTATCATGTTAGAACACAGATTTGGTAAATTGTTATTCTTTTAACTTCATAATGCTCCTGGAAAGGATTAGAGAACATAATGTTTCCTTCCATTCTCTGCTTGCACAAATAATGCAGATGTTGCTCTGTTTTAATAGGATAATTACTCAGATCCCTGCTAGTTAAAATTCCCTGTAGATCTTCTGCTTCTAGTTGAACCAGGAGTTGTGCAGCAGGACAGAAATACCTTTGGAGCACTTACCTTCTATGTGACGAGTGTGCACATTGCACATCACTGATTAAACTGTAGAACTGAAGGCACATTACTTAAACTAAAAGCAGGCAAGCCAGACACTGTCCTGTGCACTCACACTGCTGATAGAGACATCTGCAGCCATCTTTTGCTTAAGGAGGAATGGGGCAGAGAAATTAATTGCAAGTACAGTGAAAAACATCATAAAGCCCTCAAACTGGCTTTTTTCACACTGAAAATATCTCAGGAAAGAAAATGAACAGTCTCAACAGAGAAAATTAAGGACTCTGTTTAATGCTGCTCTACATAAATTTCAGTTAATTTTCCAAGAAATGGTAGGGAGAAGTTTTACTTCTTACTGTTTTTTAACTATAGTCTTGAGATACTTTTGATCTGAATGAATAATAGAATAATGTTACTTCATTAAAATCTGAAAGTTTTACTATTCTTTTGCAATATTGGGTGAGATAAAATATAGAAAATGCCATAGTGTAAAGCAATATCACAACTTAAAAAAACCCCTAAAATGTTCCAGATAAACTTCCTCAGTGACTTAATTTCAAGTAAGCACTGACAACATCCTCTACAGCAATAAGATCTATGGTTAAACAGTCAATATTTCTTCCTCAATTATTATGTTTGTGAAGCAGAAAACACTGAATAAGAAAGTAAACCTATCATCACCATATTTTAACAGATGAGTGCTAATGATTTTTTATGACTATTTGATAATGGAAAAAAATCACCTCTGAACATAATTAACATTAAAAACAGCAATTAGAAATGCAAGTATTTCACAGCCTTCTGTTTATAGTTCTAGAACAGAAAGAAAGACCATGTAAGAGTGTAATGACACTGAACTACAAGAATGATCTTCTTAAAGAGATGTTGACTTTTGTGTTCTATTTATCAACAGAAAAATTAATCTTAAATCCACTTAAAACTCTAAGAAGGCAGACAGTAAATGTTAAACTTGTGTCATAAGAAAGGACAAAAATTCAATGACAGATGGAAGAATGGCCCCCACTATTTCAACAAACAAACACAAACCCCCAAACCCAAATATCACCAACAAGCCTTATTTTTTCCTGAAGCAACTTGATGAGCTCCCAACAACATGTACTTAACTAATTAACTTCACAGCCCTGCTGGTGGCCATGGAGGTTTATAAAGTGCACAGCAGAATCCCAGCACTCCCATGGGCAGCTGCACTGACTTTGGTATAAATTTAATCCCAGATCTGACACCTGTCAAGGACTGCAACACAACTATTCCCCAGTTAATGATTACCACATTCCTATAATGAGTCATTGTTTGGTACCTAAGTGGACAGTGGACAGAGGATATCAAGGGGTGATGTGGAATGCATAAAGACAGCAGCACAGAAATGTCTCCATGTATTTTTGTTTTGACAGGAAATTAATAGCTGAAGTCAGCAAGAGCTGAAGCTATAAACACACATTTGTCTATGATAATCACTGATGGATCTTGACTGACAAGTTATTTCTCTGCTCATACCAAGTAAGACATCCCAACATTTCAGGTGGTAGTATATTTACCTTATTCTTCTGCACATCTTATAAATCTTACAAAAGAGATAATCTTGTTAATTACTAAGGCTTTTTCCTAGTCTTGTATCCAAATGCAGATCTCTAAAGAGGATATGGACACCAAGGTTTGTTTGTGCCTCTAAAGAATGACAGGTGCTTTTTTTTTTTTTTACCCACTCCCCACCCCTTTTTTAAGCTTTGGAAAGATGTGGTTCAACTCTAAGACATCTCTTGAAATAATTCCAGCACCCTCTGGAAATTGGATGCTTTAGTTGTGAGTTTGTGAAACTGTTAGGAAGATAACTCCTCCTGACTTAGTCAGAGCAGTTAATGTACAAAAACTAAACACCAAGTGTGAAAAACAGGATGAAAGGATACATGAGGCAAGAACACCTCTAATAAACAGCATCTTTGTCATGTTCTTTCTCAGATTCAACTCTAACCAGCCAAAATCCCACCACAACCAAAACAAAATTATGCGGGGTGGTAGGCAGGTGTTTGGGGTTGTTTTTAAACAGTCTAGTTACAGCTTCTGTGAAAAACATACTCAATTTACAACTCAATTGTCCCTACCCTGAACAGAAATTATTCACATATTTCATTGAAAAAGGAACCTTATACCCATTTATCCAGGTATAATTTCAAAATACTAAATGTACTATTATATAGCTTCATCAGAAGCACATTTTTGTTCTGTTCTGTATTTAATAAATCCTGTCCAACAGCTGGTCAAGTCACTAGGTAGAGAGGATAACATTACCATTCTGATGTCATCGCTACAAAAGAAGCTTCACATTACCAAGAATCATCTTGGATAAGTACCCTAATTAAAGTGATCTGTATGTCAAGGCTGCAAACCACACATTTCTCAGCATTTTAAGATTTTACCTCTTTTTTTTTTTAATGCTTAAAATAGAGTACAAACAGTTCATCTTCATGTGACCAGATTTTGGTGACACATATCCACATATTCCTCTTCACTTTTTAACAAGGAGAATTAATCATCTACAAGAGATTAAGCAAAGTCTTTTTATAAATATGTTCATATACACAGCTTGATAGTCTCTGTCCAATCTGTACCTCTATTAGAAATGGTACTTAGGGTAAGCTTGGAACACCACTATCCTCAGGATACTCAGAATTAAATCAGGATATTCAGGATTAAACTCTTCATCAGTTGAATGCACCATTCATCAGTAGCTACACAGTTCTAAAACCTTAATTGTCTGTAGCCAAAGCAGAAGCAAAGCTTTTGCATCCATAAAAACAGCATCTTAAATTATTAGTTATAAACTCAAACATAAGCAACCTTACACATCATGACTAGTAAACAGTGTATATGTATTTTTGTACCATGTGGCTCAGTAAAAATAGTATTGCCACTACTAGGAAAAGGCCTGTATTCCAGTGCCAAACGTGCAAGGGCCAATTTCTGGCCTCTTACACTTCAGAAATTATTCTAGGAATAACTGTATGAACTAGAGCTGCATACCAGGTGCCTCATGTCATAGCAAAAGCTTAGCTATAAGAACCAAGGGCTGGGAAATACAGGCACAGGTTGAAAGGAGAGGCCCCAAAATTGTGAGTTACTCAGTAATGGTCAAATACTAGTTAACAATTAGACACAATCCTCAATTTTGGAAAAAAACCCTGTTTTTCTTTTAACAGCAGCAAAAGCTGAAAAGGAGGCATAGTAGTGCTTAATAAAAGAAAAGGCATCTGGGACAAGCCCATCAGTGCTAAATCCATGGTACCAGCTCTGTGGTACCCTCTGCTCACAATTTATAATGAAATTTTACAGACTAATTGCTCTGACTATGCAGTAGTAAAGACTAGGATTGAGTAAAACCCAGCCTTTAGTAACAGGTATTGTCAATGAATGTCAATCTACCCAAGTTCTGTTTTAAAATTTAAAGCTGGTTTTAAACTGCCTTGTTTCATCAGCCTCCTAAACGTTCAGTCACAGCCAGCTCTCATTCTCCTCTTACATATATCCACCCAGACACTAACAGCAGGTATTTGGATGCACTCATGCCACCCTGCCTGATCTATTTTCCAGATTGTTTCCTTTAGAGGGCAAGCCACCCTTCTGTTTGCAACTGTTTGATTCTGCAGAACAAGTTGTTACAGACCAGCCAAGGACAAACACCAAGATATGAACCTCCTCTGTTCTTACCAAGGGCGTGCTAACCTAATAGCTGACAATAATTCAAGTGTGAAGCCAGTGGGCTGCCAGCACACCAGAGCTACAGCCAGCAAACACAGAGTGAGTTAAAACACCTGTCCTATCCCAGACCTCCTC